CCACCGTCACGGGCACACCGTTCATTGCCTTTAAGAGAAGCACGCCAGGTTCTGAACAGTACTCTTCCATGTTTATTAGATTAGGCCGCAAGTAGTAGATGCAGGCGCAAAACAATACAGAGATCAGAAACTGATTAAGCAAAACTTAACAGTACGGTTTCACTAGTTTCCCCCCAACAGCAAGCTTTTGGCTGCAGATGGATCAAAGGCAGAGCACAGGGGGTATCTGCGTGCCCAAACAGGAGATGCTGCAGCTCTGCGCCGGACTGAAGGGGAAAAAAAAAGAGGCTGCAGGTGATGCAATTTTTTTCCATCATAGTAAATAACACAGGATGCAGTAACCTTTCAGCTATAGTTTTTCTTCACCCTTAACACAGCGTTTATCTAAAAAGCATTAACAGAGTAGTAGAGATGTTTGTCTCCATAGATGAAATCCAACCAACTCTTTGGAAGGCTGAAGTTTTAAGTAACAGTGAATTTATCTCGGGTACCATTTCAAAAGCAGAAAGGCTGAACTGCGAGGAGGATGATGAGAAAGACTAAGTTTCACACCTCTAAAACAGCATGTTCATAAGATGGAAATTTTTTTTTTAGTATTCAAATATGCCGTAGGCAGAAAGCCGTACTCCCCGGTCTTGGGTTTTTGATCATCCTGCTGGTCTTGCGCTGTGATGGAAAGTCATTCTTGCACGTTTGGCACACAGCAGAAAAATTACCAGTTGAAATACAAATGTTTTCAAAGTATCCCTAATACAAGTCAGTAAACCAAAAGAGAGTGAGTATTCCAAGATGCAAGCCAAGCTTCCACTTTCACACGGTTCAATACAAGTATTGCAAGCATTTAAATAACTTCTAGTACAAATGTATTACTAACCATCTAGAAAAAAAATAAAAGCTCTGGGAACACATTCTGATGGTCAAAGTTCTCTACCACCATTTTAGCAATAAGTATAAACAATGGCTTTGCCTTCCTAGCTACATTGTCCTAGTTCAAGTATAATGAAGCACTCATTTTAATAACAAAACACCCCGCGTTTCTTCAGCTTACGATCTGAAGTGAACAAGGATATTTTAAGATTAATAGAGCTACTCTCCCTCAAGCTTTTGTTTCAAAAGTCATCGTTACACCATAGATTAAACTGTAGCACAGAAGGGACATTTTCCCATATGTGATCAATTCATGCCATTTGGGTCAGTAAGCTGGCAAGCACAAAGATAACAATATTCCACTGGCAGGAATAAAAAAAAAAAATCCTACTGTGCACACTTCCCACCCACAGCCCACATTCCAGTTTGGCATTCATTACAGTAAAAAACCAAACAATTGTTTTTGTCATCTTAAAATCGTATTTTACGATGACAAATTTCCCAACTGCAAGTCACTTTTCTTTCATGTGCAAGGTACAGAGAAAGACGTTATTCACGCATTTTTATGTTCAGATACCCAAGAAGAATGTATGGTAGGAAATCAAAGTTTTTCTGCTTTTAATCTGCTTTATAAGAAAAGATTGCCCCTCTCCAGCATTACTGGTTTTCCACATGCATAGTCTGAAGCAACTGAAGCGCCAGATAATGGAAAAGTTAGCTTCAAGTGTGAGAAATTTACCGTAACATTCTGATATTGCAAATACTGAAGCATTTGATATTCAAACACTTGTGGTATTTCCTCCATAAATTAATACAGATGTAACATGTCATTAAAATAGCTGAAATCCTATATAAAACAATGGGTTTTATGGTTTAAATGAATCAGGCTAAAGCTAGCATAAAAATTAACTGCAATGCAGTTCTAAGTAGTACGTGATGCATGGCTTTATTTTCCCTTTTGTCTACAAGAGACATGCACACTTAAGATTTTGATTCTCTACTGTTAGAACAAGCACTTTAAAGATATGCACGATTTAAAAAAAATAGGCAAGACAAGTAGTAGAAAATGCATTTTATTTATACGGAAAAGGCTACATTTAAATTTGTAAAAGGTCTGTGATAGTGTTATGTTGCCCACATGTCAAAAATCAGTTGTGAATAGCAACAAAACAGTTACATATCTTTCTACATAGCAGTGCAATTAGTTCACATTGCAATAAAATTAAGTCAAGTATGCAACAGAATCAAAAACAAGTGTTTCTCTATAATTAGCATACAAAATAATTACAGTGCAAAGATAATTTTAAGTTTTCAGAAATCTGCAGTCTTTAGAATATCCTAACGGGTGGGACACTCCAATTATTTTAATTACTAGCAGTTGTATCTTGTCAATACTGTGCACAAGCAAGTCTAAAATGAAATGACTTACATGGCAAATAAAATATTTAGTCTATACAGTAAAAAAATACAAATTATAGAAGTGAACTAGCAAAATGAAACTTGAACACACTTATAAACAGACAATGTACTTTAAGGACACACATACAGTATTCATCACATAAAACCAGCTACTTTTTCCAGCAAAAATAATTTGGTTGCTTTACAACTGCATTATGGATCTCATAGTCTTGAAGATGCAGATGTCCAACTCTTAAAAACCATAATAAATGTCTTCTGCAAAGCATACAAAGAGGATAAATATTCTTATCACAGTCATAAGGTTATTTTTGGAAGTTTGCTCTCCCTTGCTCCAGAAACACACTTAACATGGGTGAAAAAAATTTGAGGGGCATCACAATACATTGAAACAGTAAACTGTGCTCCATTTCCTTCTAATTTTGAAAAAAACTAGAATTTACAGTACTCTGTGGTATATGAAAAAGTCTTCACAAGTTTACATTGCATATTTCTGAGTCCATTCTCTCGCATGTCTGTTGTATCTGTACGTGCAGAAAGAAGGCATTACAGTGAAGAGCAGTTAGTGATACGTTTCCAGCGGCCACATATTTACTTTATACAGATGTCAGTGAACTTTTCACCTCTTATCATTCATTCAAATAACATTAAAATAGTCTAAAAGCCAAGAAACATATACCCACTGTACGTTCAAGTTTCTAGGGTTACCTATCAAAGCTATTTAGACTCAAAACCAATCTCACAGGTTTGTATTAAAAAGCGTATCATCGTGCATACTTAATTTGCATTTCATAACTGGTTCCTTTATTTGTACCTTAACAGGAATTTGTTGTCGATTATTCCTAAATGTGTATGCTATTAACAGTCTGACAAAGATCACACCTTTTAAGTGCATAAAATTCAGTATAACTAACTGGTTTTTGAAAGGGTGGGGATAGAAGGCACAGTGATTTTTTTTTTTTTTTAAATTCTCCATTCTGCACTGCCATCTGCATTTCAGAACTTGAAAGGAAAGTCTTCTGAAAAGCATTTTTGACTAGAAATTTAAGTCTTGGGTCTTTTCCTTCTGGTATGAAGCCAATTAGTACTCCCAAAGGTAAATGTCCTTAGATAGTCAATAACTTCCCCTCTGGTCCTTACATTTCTTACATTCCACTCTTCAGACTAGATTCAGTTTCTTCTGGGTCCTCCAGAAAAAACTCTGACAAGTTTTTAAATCTGTTTCTTAAGGTCAGTGTAGCAACTCATGTACTAATTGGTTTACCTTCTTAAGAAAATGCTACCATACAAGTCTGGATTTTTACTTATGCTAAAATATCCACAGATAAATGCTCAGAGGTAACCAGTCATATCTTTCATTTTCCAAACCCCAGATGATATTAAAAAAAACCCTTAACAGGTGATCGGCATAAGAAGATAAAGCTATAGTCAAGACATTCTCTCAGTTTCTCTAGCAATGATTAAAATTTGAGTTTTGGAGACAGAGAAATATCCCTTGTTCACTTCCTTCACAAACAGGAAGCACAATAGCTGAAATCACCATTAAGTGGGTGGATAAAAGCTGAGACACAAATGGGGAGAAGCTGAGACACAACATCCTCGTCTTGAACCCTCTCTGCTTTGCAGTACAAACTACAGGATTCAAGCACTTCAGAAGTGGGTTAGGTAATTTGATTTTACCAGACACAAGCTGTCACAAAAAGGCCATTTTAATAACTCTTATTCTAGGGAGAGAAACATTAGACCATAGGCTTCCACGTAACTTCTACATCACTCCTCCCCTATCCAGTCCTCAAGGTAAAAGCAATACTCAAATCCTCATGGACCTGTGATATGTGATGAACCACAGGCCATTAGCATGCATTTCAAAAAGTCCACAATGGCTCAGTACTAAAAAACATAGGTACCAAACAACTTCTCAGTCAGTTAACCAGAAAGTCAAAAAAATTCTGCTATCCCAAACATTCCACAAAATCTGAAGAGTCTAACAATTAAAATAGTTAATAGCAGGGTAAGTACCTCAGATAAAAAGCCTGCCCCAAACTAAATCCACAACCTTTTCTGCAGCTTGAAGAAGTCAGATAAACAGTGGTGGTTAGGCTGTCTATGAATGTGCTACATGGCTATGTCTATTTAATTTATTGCCAAGGCCACCAGAAAATCTGTGGTAGATTCATTTGTGGGAAGGGTATTCCATTCTTGGCAAAGTAGGACTGGATGTATTTGGAAAACCTTAGAAACTCCTACTCCTTGTTACTATCCTAAATTGATCTTGTCTTTCAGTCTTTCTTAATCCCATACACGCCTAGAAAACCCACTGGTGCTAAAACCCTGTTACAGAAGACAGCTCAGGCCATGGTGGTAGACTGTAGACTACATCCTCGATTGTGCTCAACATACCTATAGCAGCAGAGTTCCACAACATCTCCCAGTGGTAAGCAAAATGGTCTTTCTTTCCCAGATCCCTGATTTTGTAATCTTTCCCATGAATGAAGTTTTAAAAGTTTGTAAGCCCAGGAGAAGCAGGTAGCTGATACATCAGCAGAAAGCATCAAAGATGGAAAAATCTCACACAGGTAGTATTTCCTCCACGGGACCCTTTGAAAATCATGCAGTCTAATCTGTGGGATAAAGGGCCCAAGTTTCCTGTCACCCACCACCTCAACAAACTCTTAAGAAATCAATGCATGATTCTGCTTCGATAGCCACAGATGCCACTATTCAAAGTTTGAGCACTCAAAGGAATCACTCTAGAGGTAGTGCTTTGGAAAGAGAAACCACTATGCCAAAGCACCGGGCTTGCTAGCGACCTCTAAATCCTGTCATCTGATACTGTGAGGGTTCAGCCATATATGTAGTTCTAAGACATCATTTCAAAACCCTCCTTAGGATCGATGTACAACAAGAAGTCACCAAGACTTAAAACTGAACTTTGGGAAATCCAGCTGGTTCCGCACTATAAATCAGAGACCCCAGAAGAGATGTTCCAGTCAGTAGATTACTTTTAGAGTTAAAACTTCACAAATCAAAATCAGGTTTGGTCCAGAAGCATGTAATACTTCAGTTATGTGCTGTCCATGTTACATTCCCAATATCAGAAACTTCCTGCAAGTTCTACAGCTGTTCCAGAAAGTACAAAATGTTCTTTTTCTCTGTAAGATGCTCCAAATTGCAATGTGACACTGGTTCTCAGCACTTAAAAGAGCTGAATGTTAGTCTATCCTGCACGTATAAAATGGTATCAAAAACATGTGTTTCTTGTTCATACCTAACATCTTACTAAAGGGACAGGTTTTATAACCAGAAGATCACAGTAGCACCAAATAGCTTATATTTGGGAAATGATTTTTCATGCAATGAATATAAAGGCAATACACAAAAGTGTGAAGGTTTTATGCAACTAAGTACAAAAATTAGTTAGTACTGAACAGTTGCGTATGTCTACAGTTTTCTGCTTGCCATTCCACTGATCGGTATTTTCAAGATTTAAAAATCTAATCCTGTAGAAATCTATGAAAAAGAGTATCTTTAAAAGTTCATATAGAAGGTGCATAGCAGATAACCATCTCTAAGTACCACACATGCAATTATGTATATGTTATACTCACTTTTCCTTGTCTGACTTGTAGATCTGTGCAATATCCGGTACTAAAGGATCATCTGGATTAGGATCACAAAGTAAGGAGCATATGGACAATAAAACTAAATAAAAGAGACACTAGATTAAACAAGTTAGTTTGCTTTATTTCTATAATCCTTTAATATATTCCAGTACAGTGAAGGAGGGTGGTGGAAGGGAGATTGGAAAAAGAATGCATATTAGTATTAAGCTTTCACATCGCAGTTCTGCTCAGAAATGTTTACACAGTATAATTTTTCTAGGTCCTAAGTAAAACACCTGATACTAGCCTAGACAACTTGCAACCCGTGGTCCTGTACCTTTTGTGATGACGTCTCTCTCATGTTTTAACCTATGGAAGTTAAACAAACTACAGACTACATAGTTACATATACATATTTGATCAAACTAAGCCCATCCATCTACAATTATTTAAGGTAATTAATATTGTTAATATTACACTGCCATGCAACACTATTTGTGCATATCCTTCTCCACTTCTGTGCTGACAGTTATTCTCTCCTTCATATGAACATTTCACTTAATTTGATGTGTGACTTCCATTTTGGGAAAATACTAAAGTGTTATACGCAGGTATTCACTTTAATTTCATATTAATTTCCTGGTACTGAACCAAGGATGTTTGATTTTTCTAACATTTTCAGTCCATACTTTTCAGGAAATTTCTATTTTTATACTCAGAACAAATATGAATATAAGAGTACACAGTTAAACAATTCTAAAGGTGTTGTGAAAGGGAATTTGATGCTACTATAAGGCTCTGCTGTATAGTAAGATTTTTTTTTTTCCTTGCTTTGTCCCGTTACCAAAGAGCCCAGACTAACACCTACTTTCAGCTGTAGCAAGTCTGACCACTTCTTACTGACCTATTTCATTAATTGCCAAATACACCAGTAATATTAGAAAATTGGGTTAGAATACTTGGTCACACCAATGAGAGGTGCTATCAGAATGCTGTAATCCTTTGATTCAGGAAAACAAGAACTATAAAGGAGAAACTTCCATGAGCCACTGAGTTTATTTCCAGTTTATGAAATATGTAATGTGCAAGCACGTTAAAAGCATGTCAAATTAAAACACGTAAGAGCAGCAGCCTGCTCTGCTTTAAAACTGAAGGAACGCTCAACAAGACACAAGTGCTGGCGATCTAAAAACTTAGAGAGCTTTCAGCTGTAAATGCCTACTGTTAAACATATGTGCCAACTTTCATTTGCTAAATACCTTTTCAATAACTAGAAACAAGACAATTTTTGCTCAGCAATAAAACAACCAATTTCTGTGGAAAGTTGTTACCAACTACACAAGAGTAACTCATGTCTTCAGCAATTACTTCAAGAAACTGTATTAAACTTAGATTTTATTTAGCTTGTGAGACTACTGCACAGGGTCGTTGCGCATGAGCAGAAGTTGCTTTTCCAACAAGGTATAGCAATTGCACTTGCATAGAGCAACTTCCATTGGATAAAGACTAACATTTTTTTTCCTTTCTTGTACACCAAATGCAATGACACTGTTCTAAAAAAAGACCCGTGGTTTAGAGAGCTCTGAAGCACATAAGCAAGATGCGATACTGTTTAACCTTTGGAGTCACATGAGACCTTTCTGTAATATGACTAAGAGTGTGCCTAAGCATTTTGAAGCTGGGTGAGAAAAAACAATGATAGCACCCCACATTTTAAGCAGCTTTTGAAGTGCCAAAAAATGCCTACCACAAAAGAACTGCTTAACTGTAACCTCAACGTTCCAAAAACCTACAGCGTTCAACTTGAGAAAATTTAACTACGGGACTAGAAAATGTTAATAAATCTTTTAGTGGTGACTTTGAAAGCAGCTACATTTCAAAATATTCATCTGTGGAGGAATGCAAACCAGAACAATTTATCTCATTTTTTAAAATAAAGTGTAATTAAGACCTTAGCCCACACAAGGATGGTCAGGCAACCCAAAGAGCCATCAGTAAGCAATCAGGTAAGCCCACACATGTCAGTATCAGGGTTTTCCATTTACATCCAAATTCATTTGGTTTTGAAGCTGTGCTCACCAGTTTCTCCTCAGTTCTGCATGCACAGTCAGCTATAATACAGAAGTTGCATTTCAGGCTAATTGGACATTTATTATCTTACTCAACTTGGTTTAGAACATTTCTTTGCCATGCATATAATATTATGTAATACGACACTCCAAATAAACTGTGCAAGACCTTGGATTATAACAAGAATTCCAATGGAATTTGCCACTTCTCTAACGCGCAGGATAAATGAGTTCCCACTGCCACCCTTAGACCGTGCAGTAGTAATATGCAAAAAAGCGCCATGGCAGCATATGCAATTTCATAAATACAGTAGCAAATCTGTGAGTTTACCTTTCGATACAGTCAGAGCTGGTGACCATTGCGACCTCAGGATATCAAGACAAATACTCCCATTACTGTTTATGTTTGGGTGGTATATTTTTGTTGTAAAAGCAATCTGGAATAAAAAAAATAAATAAAAATCAAGTAACACCAAATTATGTTTATTACATTTTGAATCCTTAACATTGTCCCCTCAGTTCCAGTCATACTAGATCTGCCAACACAATTTATTGTACAGTCTTATCTGTTCATCCACCATGAACACATATCCTGTTGCTGGCCTTTCTGGTTTTAACTTCCAAAATTAAGCCTCAAAGAACTAAGACACAGAAACAAAGCTTTGACCAAAAAAAATGCCTAAGTTTTGAGAGAAGGAACTTACCTTTGGTGGTTTGAAAGGATAGTCTGTTGGAAAGTGTACTGTGAGAAAAAATACTCCCCCTTGATATGCACTATCAGGCTGAGGAAAAGAACAAAACAAACAAAAAACATTAATATATTTCAGTTATTTTGGAACCTCCTTTCTGAACGTAGAGAACCTCCCAAAGCTGTGAGCATCTTAGAAAATCCATTTTTTCCCCAGTACACAGCCCATGCTGTGGGCCACTGGGCTGTGTACTGGGAAGGCACAGAGGGAACTGAACGCTGCCACTGGCCTGCAGAGCTACAGTAGAGCCAACCACGGCTACTACTGCAGTAGCCCAGCACGGCTACCGAGAGCTGCCCTTCTCGGGAAGAGAAAGGGAGGGAGCTGTGTTTGACTGGAGGAGCTACAAAACTGCTGATCCATCAGCTCTACCGCAGCAAGGCGAATACAAAACCCAGAGCAAGTCTTCCAAATCCTTTCTCCGTGCAACACCACAGCTGCTCTGATCTTCCTCCATCCTTAAGCTACAAATATACTTACCTTAAGAAGTGGTTTCTCTTTGCAGGTGCAAAGAGTAGGATTTTCCAACATAATTCAGTTGATCATGATGACATCAGGGAGTTTTAAAACACACAACATCTTTGTGACCTGTACAAATCTGTGAACATGCATTTTGTTAGAGAACATGTGCACAGGTTTACGTCCAGGTTGCACACAGTTAATAGATAGAAATACCTTTGTTGCAGTCATCTGTTGAGGTAATCTTTCACTTTTATTAACTAGAAAAGTGAGGGGGAAGGTCTCAATGCTAAATGATAGAGAGCGGTGCTGCCAGTTCTGATTAAGGGAAGGAGAAGAAAACCTTTCTCATTACTTGGTAAGTTTAAAACAGCAACATAAGAACTCAATCTCAGCAAAGCTGCAGAATATCAAGTGGGGGGGGTTTCTTACGAAAGCAAAGGCAGATTGTTTTTTACATCACATCTTTATCTTGGAAATGAGCAAAAATTATCGTTTCAGAGATTAATGTAAGAAGTAAAGTCACAAATGGTCCACTAAGACACGTCGTCTTACACACTCAAAATGCAGACAGTGTTGCAATGTCAGGCAGGTTATATATAGTATTGCTAAGAAGTCAGCGTTAGGTAACATCAGAAGAGATTGCTGCTGTACTTCCAATTACGTTTGAAAGGACCACTTGCATGCATACTAAATGGATTTGTCAAAGTTAAAATAAGCTGAAGATGAGACAAGTTCAGTGTCAGAGAAGGCAAAGAGAAGTCACACCGTGTTTTATGAGTAAGGTATATAAAACAAAATTATGAGGCCCATAGACAGAAGAAGAGGTTACCCTACTTCCACACACAGGAAGTGAATTCTGAAGGTAAGCGTTAGTCCTACGCTCCCCTCGGGCCATCAGGAAACATACAGGATGTGCATCCCTATTTCCTTATGGTAAAGATAAAGGATTAATACCCTGATGGTGTTCTTTTCTTGTATCTCAGCAGATATGGATGAGAAAGGTTGGCAAGAGATGCTCATTCTTATCCTTAACTAGAGAAATCTGAGGAACGTGAAGCAAAGAAAGGAGTATTTTCCACCACAGAATATGCAAGGTGAATTGCAAGCTGGAAGAAAAAAATTGAATTTATGTGCTAGTATTTCCCTTACTCAGGTCAGAGTCATTCAGGACAGAGACATTAATGGTGGCAATCAGCACATAAGCTTTTAACTCTTAACTTCTTTGCTGTTTTGCCATTCCCCTTTAAGCAGTGCAGAAGGGCACGGGTCAGAACGACTTTATATGTGAAGGAACACAGCTGTTAAAGAAAAATGGCAAAAGCATGAGTATCCTATAGAAAAACTTGCCACAATCACTTCAGCTGCTGCTGGGCCACCGGCAAGGTGGACAACAGACTCCAACATACCCCACTGACAAATTAGTAACTGATCTTTCACTGCTTCAGAGCAGCTGTGCTGAAAATGTAGTAGTCCCAAAGGAAACACAATTCCACTTTTCTCCACCAAGTGATGCTGCATCTTAATGGATTAAATATTGTCTCAAAATTTCAACCCTCACAGTGATTCAGCTCACCATCTGAACCGGAGACGACTCTTTCCAGATTAGTAAGTCCAAAAGGAAAACACTAGGAATACAAACTCCTTATCATGATATTAATAAACACCCCTTCCCTCAGGTCATGTTGTTCTTGATTCTTTTTGCTAAAACCCTTTAGTTTTCCTTTAAAGTTTTCCTTTAATGCTTTCTGTTCTTAAGCTTTATTGTCCTTTGTCATGTCATTTCCTTGACTAGAGTCATTAATGGGGTCTTTAGAGAGCTCCCTCAACCCAAGGAAAGCAAAGCAGGCCTTCCTCACACAGACACTAAAAGTACCCACAATTGCTGGTCTACAGTTTGCAAAAGCCATCTGGTTTTGCCAGAGCCACATCACAGCCACCAAATAAGCTCTATCTAAAAACCCCAAAGTCACCCTTGTGCAACTCCACTCTTGTTTACAGTTACCAACTTTAACACTGGATTACACCCACTCTTCCTCCTTTCAGATGGATGAATCTTCCAGAATTGAAATTATCATCTTTGAAAAGCAAGCTTTTCACTTTGCAGCCCACATCACCAATTCAAACATTGCAGTTGACTGATTAAATGCCCCTAACGTCATGAAGAGGACGGATTTCTGAACAGTTACAGAAAGAAACTAGTACCACACCACTAAGAACAACAATACCACCCTAAATCTTTATTCTATGCACAGCACAGCTGAATTTGACTGCCACGCTACAGAAACCCAAATGAATCCTTCCATAATAAAATGGGAAACAAGGTCTACTTTCTAAGGGGCATGAATTATATACTTACAGGTCCCATAATTGTTGCTTGCCAATGAAACACTGAAAGTCAAAAAGATAAAACAATGAGAGATTTTTCCGAGCTTTTCTATAACCGAAAAAAGGTCTACTGTGCTAAGGTACTATAAAGAGCTTACAGTCATCTCCCACAGGTCCAGCAGAACAGTGGGCCGGTGGGTCTCGCTGCAGATCACTTAGTTCCTGTAAGAAACACACAAATATTTGAAAGACATCTACACGAAAATACACACCATTCAGCAGCACCACTTCAAAAGTGAGAACACAAACAGATTTTATTAAATAGACCAGTGGTATTTTGAAAGAAATCAACACTTGAAGTGCCCATTGATACTGAAAGGGGTTTTTGCCAGATAAGTCTGCAGCTAAAGACAACATTGTACTATAAATTCATATCTGAAAGTATTTAAGAGTTATAGCCAAGTTCATAATAAGCTGGATATACTGAAGCAGACAGAAAATGAAATGAAGAAAATGAAGGGTTTCCCGATTTGTCTGTAAACTCACTGCCTGATTTAGAAATTTATGTGCTAATCTGACTGTTCCTTTAGCTTTTGATTTTACAAAAGCTTCTTGTATTGGCCTAATCTACGCACGCTAGCTCGGTGAAACTAGCTCATAAATGCTTGCAGTCTGCCTAGAGATGATACATGAACATAACATAAAGGCTCCTAAGTAAACTAGAAAATGAACGAAAAAATTATTTAACATACCTTGATTTAATTCCCTGCATGCTTTTTACAAAATGACTACTAAAAAACTTCCCAAGAAAGCTGAAATTTAAAAGCAGCATTCAAAGAAGCTTTCGCAGGTCAACTGACTTAAGTCCCCAAAAATTTAAAATTATTATTTAATTACACAAAACTACCCTAGCTGTTCATCTGATTTATCATCACTATATCAAATGCAAAACAAGCCAGGCATTAATGCTGATTCCTTTTCCTTGTTTAATTCAATGTACTACTGTTGATGTCTGAAATTTTGCTGTACGAATAGCAAACACCTTTTTGCAATTCTAAGCTGATAGAAACCGTGCTGCAGTAAGTTTAACTATTGTGTATAAATAGTTCCATTGAAATAAGGTAAAAGATGTGTGCTGAACCACTGTTCGTAAGTCACGAATAATTATTCAAAACATACACATTTAAGTCAACAATAGACATAAGTAGGTCTGCAAATATCTCCTTGAGTTTAGCTTAATGAATAACAGTGGAAACATTTCTACTCAAAGATCATTAGTCAAGACAACTGCTTCCAAAGTCAAGGTTCAAATTGGAACTAAGTTTAACTCCAGTGTAGTATTTGTGTACATATTGTGATCAGACCTTACGTACAATTTGAAGGGTTAAAACTCTGCACTTCTCAACTGCTGCGATATATTTACCCATTTATGACATCCAGTAAACATTTCAACTCGCACACTTCTCTCTTCCAGGGACCCAATTTACCCAAGACCTGGCACCTAAATTCAGGCACACTTTTACAGGTCCACTTTTGGCCCTGAATTCCAAGAAAGGCACTGCGACATATCTTCAGTCAGTTAATCGAGTAGCAATGTTACTTCTTGCTCAGAAGTCACTCCTCACAGTCCTTGTGATTTAAAAACAAAAGAGAGAGTTCCTTCATATACCGAAATAGCTCAGGTAGCCAGCTAGTGTTACGTGTCTGCGCTTAACTTTATTCTGTTGGTGAAACTGTATGTTGGTCCAGAAACAACACTCTGGGCTAGACTTTGACTAATAAAGGCAATAGCAAAACCTTTTAAAAGTGTAGTTCCCTTTTTAATCGGAGGATTCAAATGTCACTAAGGGAGCGATACAGAGAACCAGCTATCTATGCAAACCCGAGTCATTGCCAGCGCGCCAAGGGAGTCAACAACTCTCAAGTTTCCAGGAGTCACGAGAGCGCTCACAAACATCACCAGCCACGGAGCTGTTACAGCCGCGGTCTACTCTAATTCACAACTCAAGGTCTTACCCAACAAGAGAAAACTAAGTCTTGTATCCACACTAAAAAAAAAAAAGCCAGCTGCAGAAGTCTGTTAGCCAAACCAGAGAACTCAAAGCCTAAAAATCACACGCTTTATAGCAGTCATGGCTGACTACTACATTAAAGGCAATGACGGGAAAAATATGTAGCTTAAACTCTTCAGAAGGTCTCTAAGTATATGCAAACATTCCCTTCTGCATACGCAAACTGCTAGGCAAGCACTTAATTTTGGAGTTGCAAGTCTATCACAGCACTCTCATTTGCTAGACGCTTTCCTCAAGATCTTTACATACCCGCAAACCACATAAATTGGTTTTCTTTCCTATGTACACCTGTACTTCAGAATTGGCAGGAACTGGGGAAGGCTCCTCAGATAAACAATTTCAATTTGTTCAGGCTAAAGGCACTGAAATTTGTCCATGACAAAAACACCCATGTTTTTAATCATACCTTGATGAGACCCAGAACTATCCTGTTATTAATATTTCCCTGGTAACGATGAAGAAAAGGCTCTCTTCAACCAACTTCACTAAATGAGAGCAATGTTCACGGACACATTCAGAGAGTTTCTGCAGCTAGAAAACAAACTCAGACCCAACTTCAAAATCATAATAGAGCAAATTCAAGCCATATTTTCCAATCACAAAAAATAACTTACTTAAGCTAACGCGGTTTAAAAATACAAACGGTAATATGATCAAACTTTGTAAATCAAGATTGACAGTCTTAACAGTTTAAGCCTTTACATGCAGAAGCTCCAAAAAAACAACAAAAAAGAAGAACTATTCAGCTTTATATTGTTAATTATACTGTTTAAGCTTCATATTCAAAGCAAAACTATCCGGAGAGCTGTAAGATTTAGGCTTCGAGCTTTCCTACACTTTTTGAAATGGTGCAAGGAGATAGTCCAAATGTCCCCGAGTCCCGAACTGAACACTGCAGAACAGTTGCGATGGTTCCCCAAAGCAGACGTAGAAAACCTGCTTCATCACTTTACACATTCACAAAAGAGTGAGAAGTTAAATACAAGAATTTTCTATACAAAGCAGCAAAGATGCTCTTCACAAGAACCCGAAAACCTTGCTTTGTCAAGGGACAAGGCTAAAGAGCTACGAAGCACCATGTGCTGAAACCTTATCAAGAAGCGCGAGAGAACTGCAGGTAAGGCATTACATGGTCAACACTAAAGGTTTCCCTGTAATTTTAAGTTAATTGGTTCCAGCAGCTTTGTCCATGTTTTATGGATTATCACCATGTAGCTGCATGATGCAGGTCTGGTTACTTCAACGCCTTGCCTATACCGGTATTTTTAGTCACTAGTGCAAGGCTTTGATGTACGTAGGCTAACAAACAGGATCGATAACTCAAAGCAGTGCAGATTCAGTTTCCAAAGAGAAAGTCAACACTACAAATTACAGTGTACACCAGTGCAACATCTTTTAGGAGAATACACAAAACTAAAATTTTGTCTGCAAGAGGCACAAAGAGAAGTATCAGTTATTCCAGACACTGGTGAACGTCACAACATAAAAGCATCCATCAAGAGCTCCAACACATGCCACCCTGTCCCAGTACAGCCAGGATAAACTTGTACAGAGAAAACAGCTAAGCTGAGGACAGCGGTAGGAATAAATCTTCTAATCCTCTCAAATGTAGAAAATATTAGAAAGTAGAATAGAATACTGTTAATTCTATGCCTCTAACTGGTTGCAATGAATGGGCGCTACAACAAACGATTTCTCCTGTTTAACTACAGAACAGCAGCAGAGCACAAAGGCAAGCTGGATCCATAACCAGGTGTAGCTACTAAAGGAGTATTAGCATAACACTACCACTGCTATCCAACAATTACTGGAGAAAGCCTCCAAATAATCACCTTTGATTGCACCACACACACTGTGGAATAGCTCTGTAGGCAACATGAGGCAAAATTTTTAAAATCAAGTTTAACAGATGTAAAACACACACTATGGTAAGCTATAAATGCTGGAAATATTTCTGAATGTGTAGGCTAGTACTCATTGTCAAAGTATAACACAGGCTATATTAAATAAAAGTATAAAGTTGGTGAAAACTGGAAGGCCAGTTTAACACTTACATGCTTCATTAGCAGTCAAGCTTTTCTCCTAAAAAGCTAATGGAACAAGATTGTAAAGGATACTTTGATAACAAGGAAATACAGACTCTCAGCATAGTACTCATGGCCACTCAATGGCTGTAAGCATGAGTAGTAACCAAAAAAAGCCCTAAAAATGTCTCCTTTTTTAAATAAAAGAAAAAAAAAGTCAGAAAAAAAAGACTGCAGACTATCAGAAGACCAAAATAAACTGCAGGCAGCATCACTAAAAGCTATTTTAATTCTTTAAGTGACACAAAACCACAATGATGTGGAAAAGGGCTGTGGTTATTTAAAATATAGGTTTTTATATTTGCCAGCTATGTTCTTCATTTCTTGCACAAAACGCACTGTAGACCACAGACTCACTTCCTACCAACTCCGCATACACTGCTGCTATTACATTAACGCTGCTTGGAAGCATCTGTCAAAAAACAACAGTGATTATACTTGAACTAGTTAAAGGATTCTCTGTTCTTCATAAATTTGGTAAATGTAAAGCAAATATTTATCAAAACACTTCTCAATATAAAGGTAAATCTTAGTAATAAAGTATATATTCTATTTTTATACATTGTTTTAATGTAAAAAAAAAAATGCTGCTGTGATACCACAGCTGTTGTTTTGAAAGCAAATTAAAACATTTTCTATTACAGATCCAAAAAAAGTTTCCTCAGTATGTTTACTACCATCTAAAGACAGCATGTGACTCAACAGTTTAAAGTTAAAACCTAACCCACAAATATTGATAAAATTGTATTTACTTAAGTCAATTTACAGTCACAAAAGTTATTTTCAACATAAATATTCAAGTCCACACGTCCTGTTAGTCTACACATATACAAAACATACTGAAACAAAGACATCTAGTTCGTTGACGTATCTAAATGTTTGAATGCTTCTATTCTTAACCGAGTTGTAGAAGAAAAACAATCAAGCACTATGCACCAACAAGATAAAAAACAACAGCTATTTTTAAACCAGTCTTCAAATGTGTCTCCTCTAGCTGGCTTCAAAATCTCTGCTAAAAATCACTTCTAAGTCCAATATTTTTTATGCCTGTAACAAAAGTAAATACTGGGT